ATTCACGGTATAGTGGATATGATATTGCGTTGATGCCTGAATCGACCAACGAACAGAGCAAGTTTTGACAGCGGCACACCGGCAGAAAACAATTCCGGCATATTCATTGATGTCCGTTTGTAATCGATTTTGTTCTCGAATATCTAAGTGAAATATGAAAACACAAGTGAAGAGTCACTAGGATTATTATACAGCATTGAATTATACGACTTGGGTATCATTGTTGGGAAGTGAATATATATATATACAGTCAAAGTCAAAGTTTTTGCTATGGGCACTACTTACAAGCGGATGCTTTTCTTGTCCCATAGGGTGTTTACACGAACTGAACTGTAACAATGATGAACAAAATTCGATATGCTGTACTCGGTTGTGTAATGTATTAATGATTCATCAAGTTTCACCTTGAAAGAATCAATCGTCTTGGCACAAACGACACGAGAAGGTAAGGAATTCAAGGCAGTGGACACTCTGACGGCGAACGCATGACGTCGACAGTCCAGTCGAGATTTTTGGAGTACTAACTTGAATGGATGTCCCCGTAGATGAACGTTTGATGACAACGTCAAAAGTCGACGACAAGGGTGGTTTGGGTTGTGTAATATTTGGTACACTAAAATCAAGTCTCCTCGAATCCTACGATACTGAGCAGAGTATAGACCCAATGACTGCAGTCTCCCCATGTATGAATCATAATAGAGTCCTTTGACCACCTTCGTGGCGAGTCTTTGTGGACGCTCCAAAATCTTATCATCAGGTTGTAACCTCGGATTCCAGGTTTGGATGGCATACTCAATATGCGACCAGATGTATGCTGACAGCAGACGTGGGAATAACGATGGTTCAAAACGACCAAAAACACGTTTAAGTAGACCGACATGTTTGAGTGCTGCTGATGACACCCTGGCACAGTTAACAGAACAGCTCAGGTCTTCCTGGACTATAACACCCAAGTCCTTCTCTGTTGATGCATGAGGCAGTAGTTCGTTTCTGAGGAAATAAGGAAACCGCCCATGGTGGCGTAGCGAAATCACCTTGCATTTGGAGACGTTAAATTGGATGCCGTTCTCAACAGACCATTTGTGAGCTGCTTTCAGTGTTTCGTGGAGTTCCAGCGAACCCACGCTTTCTGTCACTGTCTTCCAGATTTTTACGTCGTCTGCAAACAATAATGTTTGTGGTCCTAGGACATTCGGTAGGTCGTTTATGAACAAGAGAAAAAGTCGAGAACCCAGCACAGAACCCTGGGGAACTCCGCGAGAAACGGTAATAGTGGCGGACAGTGAATTAGAGGCTCGGACAGACACGGTCCGTTGTTGGAGAAATGCAGCAATCCAATCAAGCGCGAGGTCTCTGAAACCAAAATTGTACAGTTTACGGAGCAGTATTTCGTGGTTCACCCGATCGAACGCTTTGGAGAAGTTCAGGTAAACCACATCAAGTGCATCACCTTTGTTTACTGGCTTTGTCCATGCATCGCGAGCCAGGAGCAGTGGTTTAGTCGCTGTCACTGGTGTGCTTTGGACCCTGTGGTTCGAAGTTCGAGCCCCGCCACCGCCACCCGACTTCGGTGGTAGGCAGCTCTGCTGCCGTCCGGTTCAATACCACGCCTAACCTATCGGGGCCTTATGTGTTTCGCCACTTCAATTCCCGAGGCTCAGGTTGCCAGTTTCCACCACCGAACAGTAGGTCCTCGTGACTATGGGGTTTCCCCCGTCTGCTGTTCATCACACTTAGGTGTTTAAAAAAGATTAGTAGTACATGATCTCTTTTGACGGAATCCATGCTGAATGGGAGAAAGGAGGTCGTATTTCTGTAAGTGTCCTATGAAGAAATCTGCTATGATGGATTCCATGACTTTGGATAAAACTGGTAGGAGTGTTACCGAGCGGTAGTTGTCAGGATCACTACGACAGCCCCCCTTGTAAATTGGAGAAATTGTCTTGTTTCCAAGATTGGGGCAGCACGGTTTTGTCAAACATCCCTTGGAAAAGAAAACCTGCTGTTCAAATATGTGATTCGATAACGAAATAAGCGGTTGGGGATGTAGATTGTTTGCACCTGGAGCCGAATACTTACCTAGACCCAGAAGCTTTGATTTCAGTCTGTCGGCATCAAACGTGAAGGTAGTCAGTGGTGAATTTGGAAGAAAGAGTATCCGAGGAGGTAGCCGCAGTCTCGCGTTGTTGGGTGTGTCAAACACTTGGTTTTTCAGCACCTCAGCTGCTTCCTGGGTGTTACTGGCGACCTTCCCAAAGTAGCTGCGAGCGGGTATCCCATACCTTACTTTGCTCAATATATTGTCTTGTTTGTATAGTAGCGACGGGTTGGAAATGAACTTCCGTGAGAGCGTTTCTTGGTACCTCAGCTCCTCCTCCCGCACTAACTGGGTACAATACTGTTGCAATTGTCGATATTTATTCCAGGTGATGTTAGTTGGAAATTGATTGTATGCTCATCAAGATCGATTGCGCAGAGACATCCATTTATTTATGCGGTTGCAAATCGGCGGG